CCAAACACCAATCTAGACAGGAAAGAAGAACCTGAAATAGTTAATGTAACTATGACCACTACCCAAGGACCATAATTACTATAGCAGTTGAACCAACAAAGACAGGATTAGAAAAAATAGGAACAACTGGGTTTTTTCAAAATGTATGGGATTCTTTAACTAATTGGGGAAATCAGGAAAATAGACAATCTACCTCAGCCCCAACAGTAATACCGAAAGTAATGAAAGCACCAACAAAATGAGAAAGGATATGGGAGGGAGCCCTGCAAAATGATTGGTACAAATGGACACAATAGTCAGCTAAAACAATTAATAGAAAAACTAATTGTTAAGTATGTGCCTCCTTCCCCATTAAAATAATTGATAGTAATACCCAAATCCACACAGTTACAAGGACTGTGCTAACTTTAAAACGAAGCTACTGTCATCTAAAAGGGAGAAAGGCCCTACTGTCCTGCAGAATGTTTATCAATTTTTGGGAAATCCCTATCATTACAGATTCTATAATCAAGTAGGGATGGGGAGAGTGGTGTAAAAATTTGATATCAGAATAGTGCCCAGAAAAATGGAAGCAAGGGAAAAAACCGTAAGATATAACAAAAAAAGAAGCACAACAAAAGGGAGGGCAGCATGATTTTGGGAAAAGTAAGGGGAAAGTTGAGACCCCTGGTACCAAAAAATGTATGCCGGCAGATACCCCCCACAGAGCATTTTCAGGCAGCAGGGTCAAGTACTGGGTAATAGCAAAATGGAGGGCCGGGTGACCCGGGGAAAATTTAGAACAAAAACTGGCAAAGCCATTTATTTCTCCTTTGGGATCAATCGGTGGCGTGGCAGATTTTTTTGGGAAGTGGAGAACAAAAGATTTAAATATTTGCCTAAAAAATGGAAGGGAGTATGTGCTAGAGTAAAAAAATGCTTTTGGAGGGGTTATTCAGAGTGGGAGGTAACCCAAAAAAAAAAAAAAGGGGGAAGAAAAGTAATAAAAAGGGGAAAAAGATATGACATGACCCCAATGTATTTTGATCTAGGTCAAAACCCGAGGAATTCCAAAGAATATAAGGCAAGAGATTAAATTAAAGCAGGATTTGAACAAAATTTTTTCTGGATTTAACCCCAAAAAAAACCAGAATGGATCAATTATTTTATTTAATCAACAAAAATTTATTTAAATTTCAAAACCTGCATTTCACCCCAGGAGAGAAGTAAGGCTACCCGTAGAATGGATGGAGAATAGGGACTCTAAAATGGGTTTAGCGGAAAAAGGGGAGTTTTTTGTTATGTTTGGAGATTTAAAGTTGTACTTTTATCCCCCAAAAATACGCCCCGGGTGGTTTTATTCAATGAAGCAAGACTAAATAAGGACCGAAAAAAAAGGTTTTAAGGGCAATGCTGGGATTCCGTGTTGGGACTGGATGGCTTCCTTTGGGAAATGGGGTGCAATGTTTACAAAAATGGCAATAAGATAGGAATATCCTTTTAGGAGGGGGTAGTGTTTTTTTTGTTCCACCTCTGTTTAAAGCACTTTTTTTTTTATTCAAACCACAGTAAAAAAGACGTACAGCCATTTTTTCTAGTTCAGCCAAAGAAATACACCCCGTTAGGGAGCTCAGGCAGTATGTTAATGAAATGGGAAAAAATTGAATGTTAAAAAGGGGACCAATGGACGTCCTTTGGGGAATCCCGAATGTTTTGGAGTTGTTCCTGGGGGCTTGCCATGGTTAAAAAACCCCAAAAGAAAATGGGGGGGTAATTTAGAGGAAAACCTTTCCCAAATTTATCCAATCCTGAATGGGGTTCTGGGTCCTCATCAGGATGGGGCCCAAAAATGGGAAGATATATTTGGTTTAAATATAGCATGTAAAATTAACCACTATGGCAAGGCTAAAAATAAGTAAATGCACATCTTACTTCATTTTTAAAAAAATGTTTGTATTTTGGGGCCTTTTTTGGAAGTCCCCAAAAGGGGGGGGAAAAATAAATATTTTATGTATTTAAACAAAAGGGAGATGCCAAAGGGCAAAATTTTAAAAAAAGTTTGATATTTAAATCCCCATGCTCTTAAATAAAGGGAAAATTTGCCAAAACATATGTAAAATGTGTTTAATGAATATTGTATATTTTTTTTAAAAAAGTGCCCGAGCCAGCCACCAAAAGAATGAGAGGGTTTTTATAGAAAAAACATTTAGCCTTTTGGGGTGGACCATGTGTGAAAGTGGCGTTGAAAGATAAGGGGGGCGCAAACTAAATAAGTTAGGATTCCTAAGGGAGGAAATGTATATGCTATTTTAAGTTTTTGTGGGATTTTTGGTT